TTAATGCAGTATTCCTTTATAGGTGGGACCAGATTAAGATGTGATCATATTTCAAATTGTTCATAATGTCTTACATTTATCTTCCAGTGTTGGATGCTTTTGACTGACTGACTGCTGTTTATTTAAATTGAAAAATAAATGTTTGAAACACTATGGTCAGATTCCAAGGCTAATTGGTTTTGTTTTTTATGGGTAGTTCTTAAATGAGCTGTGTGTGCAAAACATGCTAAAATATTTAAAAACTGATCTGCAGGAAGAATACACACTTTTTTGTTTAGTTAAGTCAAAATAACATAGCAGGTTAGTTTTATATGTAAAATGTATGTTGTATGCAAATGTATACCAGGACTGCTTAGTTTCATTTAAATGTTTGTATTGTGAGCAATACTGTGCAATGAGTACATTTGATAAATAGACACTTTCTGATTTCACTATCTACAGTGTGTTTGTGCATGTCTGCTAATAATTAATACTCAGTAAATTAAGTGTAATTTATCAGTGTGCTATGGTTTCAGAAAACATATAAGTGTGCTATGTTTTCTGAAAACTATTTAAATAGGAAATTCCACATTTGAGCACAATATAAAGTAAAAATAATAAAGGTATCAAAGCTGTCCTCTACAACACAGGATTACTTAATGTTGCAGTTTCCCACAGTTAAGGGAACTGAAATTTTGTGGCTGTTGCCCATTTTTCCTGTCTGCTAATGCAGCCTTAGGTATATTAAATTCTGTGTCAATATATAGATTCACTTTTTAGGTAGTTGAACCTTTTATTGTCTATGCCCCAGATCAACCTTTCATACCAATATAACAATGTGCATAGAGCAGCAACAATTCCCTGATTAATTGTTTGGTCTATCAACAATCAAAATTCAAATATTTGATTGTTTTAGACATTTTTCAAGCAAATGGGCTAAACAATTGCTGATCACAACTTTTCCAATGTGATAATTTTCTTTTTATATCCCAGGAAAACCAGTATCTGAATTTTGAATTGTCTATTTAAAACAAGACATTCAAAGACATCCCTCTGGTAGACTAGCATGAGCACATTGTATTCTGACAAATTAGACTGTGATGGAGAATTGAGAAAATAAAGAGCAGATCAATCAATCATGAAAATATTTGTGCATTGCATCCATAGTAATGCATCAAGTCTAATTGGACATATTTAGTTTGAATGTGCTTGTAGTCTTTATTTTACAGTTATTGTGTAAATAAAACTAATATTTGTCATTCATCTATAATCACAAATTTGAGTCTCGAGTGTGACAGACCGACTTTCTGTCTGTCAATCAAATGCATTAAAATGTGATAGCTGCACGACCACTTCCTGGAGTCAGGTAACACGTGACCCAGTGGGCGGGATCCTGCCTGTGCACTCGGATCCCTCCCCTTTGTGGGGGCTGCAGCCAATCAGCGCATAGAACCGTCCTTACAAATCCCCAAAAGGTGGAACTTCCAAAATAAACCCTCGCCCACGACAGGCGGAGCTGCAGCAGTAGCCCGGGATTCCTCCCTCCAGCCCGGGCAGAGGGATCAGCAGCGCCTGTACACACACACGCAGCTCTGCTATCCCAACCGCCGCCCCCCCCTCTCGTAATTGCGTGCGCATTATAAACGACGTGATTCACTTTGAATTTGCACAACGACCCATGGTTTCCATTGTCTAACCTTGCATTATGAGAGTGTTTCTCTGCTGCGTAACAAGTCGTTATTTCAAGTTTCTGTGCAGAAGCGTGCACGACAACACGCTGCGGGCTGTGGAGCTCCACAACCCCGGGGAGGAGGGTGCGCTGTCTCCGTGCACTCAGCGGCGGTCGACGTGCGTGTGTGCAGGCTGCGCTCTCCAGACAAAAGGCTCCACTGGACAAAGATAAAACGGAAAACCCGCACCCAATGTTTTATTGACGCTTTGCATCAGCGCAGGTGGACGCGGAGGGAAGAGGAGCCGGGCCTGGGCGGCTCACGCTCCTGCGTATTTTCTTGGCGGCAAAGAGGCGATCCGGGTGCCCTTACCAAACAATGCCAAAGTCAAAGGAAACGGGAACTACTGCGTCGCGACGCGGAGGAGCCACGCCATTCCCCCCGCCGCGCTCCCCCGAAAACTACGCAGCCACAGCGGCCGCGATTCCGCTCGGCGGAGAGGACGCCTCCTCCAACAAATCCCATTCTTTGTTTACTTCAGCGATCGGGAGTAAAAATGTCGAACCTGTCTCACCACCACAACAACTCCCTCCTCCTCCTCCTCCTAACCCGAACGAGCCATTTACAAACATGCCCCGCACACAGCCCCGCACACCGAACGTCTCCAAGACAGCGGTATGCCTCACATCACCACCGCACTGCCCCGCACACTCTGTTTACCCGCACTCTCAACGACGACCCATCTCATTTCACCACTGTACTGCTGCCGATCCCCAGCATTTAAAAACAAGCCCCCGATCGCCTCATTTCAAGACACAAAAGGCGCAACACGCCGCCCCCCCACTCATCATAAACACCGTTCGCTTGTTACAGCAGCCATGGTGAGATATTAACGTAGTTAAAGCAGCTGTTACATACCCAGGAAAAAGACTCCTTACTCCGGATTCGTGTTTGTAACAAAATTAGTTGGAGACGCCCCCCTCCGCTGGCATTGGCGCACACCACCAGCTACGTCACTTTATTTTGAATATCACCCGCTAAAAGAGAGGCAGCCTCACAGACACACGGCTGACTCCGTCTGATCAAAACTGCGAGGCAGGACCACCACCTGTGTTATACACACACACACACACACACTGCAGCTGCCCTGCAGAGTAATCAAGTACTATTACTGAAGTAACTGTACTCTAGGTATGCACTCCTCCCCATTACATTCCAGAGGATGATATTCTTCATCATGTATTTAGCAGCCATTATATTTTTATTTCGGATACTTTTGCTCAGTCCTTTACAGGATTGATTAATTATCAGGCCTATTGGATAGAAACAGTTGCAAAGCTATTTTCAGATTGCTTGTTTTACTCCAACAATATCTTTTGTGATGTATTTTCTCTTGTTACTACCAACAGGGGTAGATGTTCATATCATTCATATCACCACAGTAACAAATAAGGGTGTCATCATTGTCCAGCAGGATTATGCATTTCAGCTTGTTATATAGAGAAAATGTTTGATGGGAAATATTTTTTTGTGCATCTCCTATAACTCTGAAGAAAGCCTCTTCATCCTGTAGGTTTGGGTTTTAACAACTAAACAAGTGTCCTCAGAAATTCTGTGCCTCCTCAAACATGTCTCTTGCGTTTGGACGCTAGTGAATTATGTCTCATGGGGTCAAAATGTTTCCTTGCAAAGACTTCAGGCTTTATCCTGCACGGTCCGGCATTGATGGAGTTAGTTGATTGGCTGAGCATTAGAAACAAAAGACACAGAATTCACATCTTTGTTTTATGCGGTAAAGAGGATGACTGAAGGTGTTGGATCTTAAATGAGTCGTTCTGTCGTAGTTTACACTGTGAATGTATCATCGGGTGTAGGATTTAGAGCCTGTGATACAGTGACATGTCACAATGGTATAATCTAAACAAAACATATGCAGGAGAGTTTAAGGGATTCTGGGACAAAAGAGACCCTGGGGGCTTACATATTGAAAAAAAAGAAACAAATGATACAAAACCATATAATTCTAATCTTCATTTTAGTATCTACATATTGTGCATACACAATACCCCCCGCCCCCCGCAGAAAGTTAATGGCATGTGACCTCGATAGTGACATAGTCTCCTTTACATAGTGGACTAGTGTCATCAGTCATTCCCCAGGGCCCCCTCCAGGGTTGGGGCCCCCAGCTTTTTGCCTGCTTTGCTAACCTTGTTGTAGTGCCCCTGAAAATGTGTTTAAAAGGATCACACCGATCCCAGCTAATGGTGAGTGAAAGCATACTACAAATGTTGAGAAACAAAAGTGGCAGCTACAGGTTATAAACATTTACCCAGTCGTTGGTGAACAAAGGAAATGGAAGTATTAGTTAAACTAAATCTTGCCCTGAGTTCATTTTACAGCTGCGACATAGAGAGCGCCAAGTTCCCCCAAAGATTTCCCACACACAAAAATATACATTGTTGACACAGACAGGACCACGTGTTGCTGAATCCAACTTGAAGCATACAGTTAGTTACACTGTTAGTATACAGTATACACTTCCAGTGCTGTGGTTTACACTGCTCGCTCTGTTGTGGTGGTGAACCTACTCTAGTGTTTGTCGAGTGAGTGCAGCAGTTTGGGAACCACTGGTATTTCAAGTTAAAAGAAATGCTTTGGAGCTTTGGTTGTAAACTGAAATGTCTGGTAATAATTACCTAGCTTTGTGATGAGCATATATAGCTTTAAATCAATTGCTCCTGGATGCTAGATCTTTGAGGGCACCGATGAATTTGTTTAGGACATCTGATATCCTGCCAGGCAGTGTTGGTTTTAATCAATGTGTTAATATGAATAAATGATAAAGATTAGCTGGCTTTTTTTTAGGCTTTATTTATTATTGTTTGTGTCAGCAGTACCTTGCTAACACAGCTCCATCCCTATGATACTGCGCAGACTAATTCCAAAAGATGGTGTTTCTATAAAGCATATTTTGGCTTCATTTCTTGATAGGGGGAGGAAGTGGATATGCGTTGTTCATCTCTATATACAGTCTATGAGCATTTCCAAAACAACCAGTTGAAGGACGCTTAAACAATGAAGGCGAAGGGGACTGCAGAATTGGATCATAATTCTCTCAGCAGGCTTGTCACAAAATCATGTGCCGTTCATTTGACCCAATTTTAATATAAAATTATAGTTAATCTTAATCTAATAAAACCAAATTATGTTTAACGACTTTAAATATTCATGTCATCAACTCTCTACCTTTAAAGGAGTCTTAATAAATGTACAATAGTATATTAAACTATGAAACTGGGATTATCATGGAAAAAACCCTTTAAATCTGGAAAATGAGAAACAAAATACACCTTAAAACGTCCACATTGACATGGTTTGTATTTAATACAGTATAGCTTGATTCAATAGTCAATACAAATGATAAAGTAATAGGTTATAACAGAACAAATATAAAATTAATGTAGATATTTGTATAATCCTGGGTAATTGTATGAAAACAGTTGTTGAATACAATAGAAAAATAAAACGGGGCACATTTTGCTGAAAGGAAAAATAATTCTAAAATCAGAGTGCATAAGGATGGCAGACTTAAAAAAGGCTTCACTACAAGCAAATTCAATATGAATTCTGTAGCAAAGAACACATTTTTTTTTTCACCCGGCAACAACATAATGCAACTTATGACACACGCACACACACACTCAGTACTTGCATGTACTATATAATAATGGCAAGACACTGGGACCAGATGAAAGCACTGATTACAGCCACAGTCCTGAAGGACGACGACAATTAGAATTCACTTCAGACAACATTTCTGACTCTCGAGTGCCTAAGAAGGACTTTATAGGGTGTAGGCACAGGTTTGTGTACATTTATTCAGCTATGCTCTAATTAATGTGTGATTTCCCTGTAAAATCCTCTTGCTTTGTCTCAGTAAAGCTCTATGCAGACGATTAGAGCGAGTCCAAGATGTCACTAACCGTTTTATATCTAAGCATCACTAAATGTAACAGTAAGATTAAGTTATCCCAGTATCATGTGCAGATCTACAGAATTACTATGTTTTGTCATCCCATTCTATCGCTGTAATAATCTCAGAGCACGCAGGGAAGAGTCATTTAAAAGTGCTAAGACATGATTTGTGTAACAAAAAAGAAAAAGTATTGCACTACTCATGAGGTCTTAACTGATGACTTACACAGATTCAATGGCTTTGCTGCTGCAGCATGGACTGCTCTACACAAGCGTGTACGCATGTGGGTAAGCAATACATTCCCACCACAATCACTACAGCATGATGGCACTGCTAGTAAGAGAAGGTGAACCACAGATGCTGGTCACTGTCTGTGCTGCGAGTCAGGAAATATCAATGTTAGGGTGAGACAGAAGGTTTCAGTGGATACATCAGAAAAACTAAAGAGGAAATCACATGGACAGCAGTTTAATGAGTGATCAGAGCCGGGATGAAACAGGAGTTTACAGCCTGATCGGTTTTTGGATGTGCTTTACTCCTCCTTACTGCCATTCACTAAATCCTTTTATTTTGTTGGACAGTTTCACCTCCTTGTGTTCAGCGTTACACTCCTGAGACGACGCAGAACTAGCTCGTACCATCTACGTAACCATGTGCTGAAAATCCACTGCAGTGAACAGCGAGCTATACTGGACACTGGAGGTGCAAAATCTACCCTATTATTATATTATTGTTGCTTGAGAGTGGTGATAAAGCTCCTTGTTTGGAACAAAAAAAGCTGTGCTTAGTTAAAGGATCATTTTACCCCAAAATGTTTAAATTGTGTCGATAACTTGCATCTTGCTTGAAACTCAAATAAATACAATTTGTTCATTGAAAGCAGAATCTGACCAATTGAGCTGTTTGAAAATGACTCAGCTTCTTACCTGATACATCTGTTAAGCTGCATTCAGTTACGCACTGAACTCTGGATAATCTCCTAACATTCTCCGCAGGGGCTGTATGTGAGAATGCAAATGTCCGAAAGAGAGACTTTGAAAAATTTTTCTGACTTTCTCATCCCAGCCCCCTGGTAAAAACATCAGAGAATGTCCAATTGAACCAATTTGAGAACACAGCAGGAGATCCACTGCAGGATTCACCCTCCACAGATTTCTGTGTTGTTGTGAACACGTCTGAGTGGAGAATATACAGCTGCATTGATTGTGCGAAAGGAGAAAGGCCAGACCCAATTCTGCGGACATTCTCTGGAGTTCATGTCTGAAAAAGGCCTTTGTGCACGTGCTTGTGCCTATGGGGAAGTTAGCTACAAATACTTTTCTATAGCAGTTGTTTGGAGAAAAGTACCAGGTCCCTGTTCACTGCAGCCTTTAAAGAGAATTTGACTGAAATTTTAAGTCAAATGTTTTATTTTGCAGGAAAAAACAATTAGTGGAGTTTTACCTGATCTGGGATAAGGGGGTAATGATTAACTTTATAGATTGGGGTGTACTATTCCTTTAATGAGGTCCTTAAACCATTACTTTAAGTGGTAAATAAATAATCAAAAGGCTAATTTGCGTTACCTCCACACGTCCCTGACCACAGACACACAAAACGCACAATGGGTTCACTCTGAGATATGTTCAGCAAAAAAACAAAATGTCACATTGTTGGCAGCCAGAATGTTATCACATGGAAACATCATAATGTCAGCGCTCAAGCATTTTAACTGTTGCTGTCTTGTCTTGGTCTGCCAATGAAAAATGGCCGAGCTTCAAATGACAGCTTCTCTCCCGGACTGACTAATTGGTCACACAACCGACTTGGGGGGTTAACAGATCGACCACGGACATCTCAGGGCTCGTGGATTGGTTCGGGAAGTCACGGCTGAAGCTCACTGATTGGCTGGGAGCAGGCCCTGTCTTTGGGCGTGCTCCAAAATGGCATTGTAGCAGAAGTAGTACTGGTCCGGGGTTTGAATGCTGAAGGCTCTCTGTGTTCGCATGCGCCGCACCGTCTGGCACACGTTTAGCGAGCCAACGTCCTGTAGCTGGGACAGGCAGATGTCCAGGGCACAGAAGGTACCTGAAGACCAGAGTTAGAGAAATTAAAAGAGTTATGAGACATTGTTAGGAAGGATTATTGACAATATTTGAAAAAAAGGCAAATTGAGCCTAAAGCATGGAGTGAAACTGTGGAATTCTCTGGAAATGATTTTAAATGTCAGATTTATAAAGAAAAAATCATGAAAGAGTCACTGTGTTAATTAAGGGGCTGCATCCTTTGGAGGCTGCATTTGAAATTTGAAGACAGATTGTGTCACAGTGGCAGGACTAGGCTGTCCCATTTCCTTCAAATGTGGCTGACAGCTGTGTCCTTTCATCCCCGAGAAATGAAAGCTCCAACAAGTGGATCCTTCTGGGCCGGACCTATCCCAGTATTCACTGCGCTTCAGTGACAAACAGCAAGCACCGAGATGTCCGATATACGTGCTTGATATATGATTCCACTCAACAGTACAACTAACGGTACACATGCTAAATTACCAAGGGATATCCAAACTTTCTCCTTATGTTAAACTTTAACTCTGTTGCTAAGCAACAGCAATACGCGCGGAACGAGCTGGTGATGCCAACCACGGATAGCCTCTGCAGAACGGACCACCTCATTGCGGTTTCGCCTTCTCTATCAACACGGCCTACAAAGGGCGGACCCTTCATGGGCCGGGTAAACCACGTCCTGGGAAGGATACAGCCCCTGAGACACAGCTGGTATGAATCTATTGACTGATATTTATGTTATAACAATGTTGAATAATAATAATAATGTAAAACTAATGTTTTGTTTTTTGAAATAGTTTTCGGATTACAACGAAAAGAACAAAACAAACAAATCAGATTTTTGAAGTATCAGTCATTATGAGGTGTCAATGCTGATATTGTCTATATTACATGTGCATATTGATATGGGTCCTTCATATGCAGCCCAGGATACATTTGCGCAGCTAAAAGAATTTGTCCACGTGTTTGAGTGCGTTCAGACTCAAAGCTAGCGCTGAGCACTTGTGATGGAAACACTCAGTACATAGGTCAGACCTGGATCTATATACCAGGTCTGAATGGGGTCTCAGACCACATTTGGAGGTGGTCTAGGACGCATATGGCCACAGTCTTTTAGCTGTGTGAACTCGGATGTGCCCTGAGCCACATTAGAAAGACCACTAACTCAGTTGACGTCCTCTGTCCCCTGATAGTATTTTGTTGTTTTTTATTTCATTCAAGTAAAGACCAGGACTCTCTCGGGACTCCTTAATACCACGTCTGAACGGGGCCTCAATGGTAAATGGAAATAACTAGGTATCGATCATTCTCAGGGTCTCACCTGTTCTTCCAATCCCTGCACTGCAGTGCACCACCATTGGGGGTCCCAGCGGGTGGCCTGTCCACTGAAGCCCCAAAGACTTCACCGTTTTCCTCTGTTGTCTCTTCACCGCTCCCAAGAAGTCAATGAGAGTCACAGCGGAGGTGGGGACGCCGTAATCAGGCCAGCTGAGGTACTGGAAGTGACTCACGTGTCTCTGTTCACATGTCTGAGTAAAAAAACAGAACTGAGAGTTAAATGCTACGCAAGAATAGAAGAGGGATGGGGGGGATCTCACTCTAAATTAAACTATTGGTCATAATTTCTACAAATAAAATGAATGAAAATTCTGCTCTTTCCAGTCACAGTCTGTGTTTGTGCATCAGCTTCACCTCAGTGTTGTGCAGTTCGAGGGTTGTGTGGTTGTAGTGGGTGTGGTGGTCCACCCGCTGGTTCACCACTGCCATATGGCAGTACACCTCTTGACCTCCTTCCTCCAGTGGCCAGTATTGTCCACACTTCCTCCGACTGCCCTCGTCTGTCCTGCAGTGCAGAGACACCACATATGTGATGAAAATGAGTTCACAGCTCTCAGCTAATTCACACTAATCTGCAACGACTCGACAACGAGTGTTTTTTGTTTTTTTGCTGGCTTTAAAAACCAAGTCAAATTACCTGGTTGTCATGACAATAACAAGCACGTTTTGTTCCCAGACCATCCTCCAGAAATCACCGTAGGTCTTTTCCAGTGGTCCTGCCCAGCAACAGGAAATAATTAAAATGACTTTAAAAATCCATGTAATGAATGAGTGGAATAGCCGCCTCATGAAGTAAACCTGTATTAATAGCAGGAAGTAAAAATGTATGTGTGAGACGTCTGGCGTACCTTGAGTACCAATGTATGCATTTGTCTGTTTGTAGCCATCCATGAAGCTTGCATTGATGTAGTCAGATCTCTGTAAGAACAATAAAGTTTTATCCAAGAGGTTGAAGGAACCCTTGCAAAAACAAACCTGAAGCATATTAAGTTAAACATTTAAGAAATGAAACAGAAAAAAGTGTTTAGATTTTTTGTTTGTACCTTTAACCTCAGACTGTCGGTATTCTGCTTCACAAGCTAACTGGTATCAGTCCAGTGTAGCAGTCTGGATTCAAGGTGTGAGGCTTGGTGTATTTCTTGGAGCGACCATGAATGCAACTGATTTTTTTAATGAATTACATTTATAATATGCAGACTAGAAATGGCATGATGTGGGAATCTGTCCACCGGGTATGGTGGCAATACGGACGTGGGCGCCACCAGTTTTATGTCAATTAAAAAAAAAGAAACAGATGGCGTGACCGGTGGGCAAGTTACTGTACATAACGGGTATGTGCCTGAACGTCATGTAACACCGGTAACTACCGCAGCATCTCTAATGTACACTTTAAGAGGAGCACCAACCTCGTTCCTTCTGGCTTTCAAGCGCACTCTTGTTTGATCAAGGCACAGCACGTCTCCATAGCGATTCCGCTCCTGATTGTAGGCTGCTCTGTGGACAGTTAACACAAACAATTATATGGTTAGAAACGACGATTCAAGTTGTAATAGATAGAAAATACAGTAAGCTGCTGTGGAGATTTGAAGTTATTTTGAAGTAACTGTAACTTGTGACACTGACAGCTGAAGTATATTAGACAAAATGAAATGACAGAAAAAACTACCATGAGAAAAACTCCATGAATACAATATAGTAACTGTACATATATATATAAATATAAATGTGTGTGTATAAAAATCCAGATCCTGTGAATTCAAACGTGGTTTCATAAAGGGACTGTTGGGCCTTGGTGAAGGTATGAGCTCTACTTACTGTCCTTCTAATGATACTTGTGATAATAGAAAATGATTTTTACCCTCCATCTACCATTTAATGCATCTGAAGAAGACATGGAACCTAGATCAGCACAGGAGTACTTCTGTTTACCGAGGAATTATGTGATCTAATTATTTTCTTTACATAAAAGGCCACAGGTTTGCATTATGTGCAAACATTAATCATGTGAATAATAATCTCCTCTCTGTAGTGAAAGTGCATAAGTCCAAATGTGAGCCTTCAGCATGTGTGTGTAGCTCACTGTGCACAGTGGAATGTTCCAGGCGGTGGTTCCTTGCGGAGCTCCTCATACTCTTGGTGGATGCCTGAGCGCTGAAGCCTGCCGAGGTGCATCAGCAGCTCCTGTGGTCGCATGGACTCAGGTCCAGGGGCGTGAATGGACGTGTCCTCCAGGGGGATGGCCACAAGCTCGTCCACTGGGTCCACTCGGCCGTTCTGGCCCACCAGCAGCTGCTGGTTCCAGCTGTGCGCGTCCAGGGGCAGCAGGCCACCGAGGTGCTGGGGGAGACAGTCTCTGGGGAGGTGTTGGCGCAGCTCCGCCATTTTCACCATCTGAACCTGGAGTTAGATGAAAGGGCAATGATAGATTTAAGGCTTCAGCTTCATGATGAGAAGATGATTTTTCACCTTCGACAAGTAGGTTATGTTTTTCATATGTTTGTTTGTTGGTTTATCTGCAGGACTACGCTGAGCAGATTTCAGACATGTGCCAAGATGCAGATCCAGATTTTTCTTTCTTTCTCTTCTAGGGTTTTTCTTAACATTTTCTCAGATCTGCCAAAAAATGATTCATTGATCTTTATGGAAAACAAATCAGGCATATTGAGAGAACTGATTTATGAGTGTGTAAAGTTTGGTGCAGCTTGATTGAATTTAAGAGGACTATTATGTTTCTTGTTCTCGATCTGAACCATCAGGTGACACACAAGTCTGTACAAATTCAATTTTCCAGATGATGAGGAGATGATTGATTCCAGGGATTCAATCAATGATCACATGCAACAATCATTGACTCTGACCTGCCTGCTCCCTGATGGTTGACGGAGAATTGTTTCCATCATAAACCTGAAGCTGAAGAGCTGAAATCAAACAGTGAGAAGTGAAGCAAACAGCTCCGTCGTTTACCCTCTCTCTAAGTTTCTCTTTGAGCAGCAGGCTTAGCAGATTGTACGGCACTCGAAACCAAACAGGGGCCCCGACGATCAGCACCTTCTTCAGCCTGGCAGGGAATGCCCCCTGGTGGAGAGAGACAGAGATACAACTCACGATTAAGGCTTTGACATGAAAGTTCCTTCAATTTGAAATAAAGCAGAAAAGGTTATACATCATCAAAACAGTGGTTGACATGAACTCAGAGGCCCACCCCCCTCTCTTTGTGGTTAACTATTTCTTGAGGACTCATATCCGCCAGATAATCCAATTATACATAATTATGTCATATTATGTCTCCACTTTATATTGTGGTGCTCTGTCTGCACATAAAATAAATTCTCCTGACGACGTATCAGCTACTCCAGTCAATGTTTGGATCAATATGCGGGCACGGCACACATGCCACCGATGAGGTCACCGGGGTCTGCGGTCCAGTTCAGATGAAAAACTATGAAATCCTTAAAGCGTAAATCGTTTAAGAGGTAGGCAGCCATGCAGGAAACAGCTAAACTAAGCACCGCTCACAGTCTTACACAGCCACGGTGTGGATTATATCATTGTTCTCCTTCTCAGTCAAGGGGTCGCTCATTCATTCTGCCCTTCACACGACCATAAAATTCCTCAAAGAAAAAACAACACGCTCTTTCCCAGGATCGATGACATACTGCAGCAGTTATATATTAACTCGTCCTGTCAATCTTTTTAACAATAACAAAAACTGACCTTTTAATATTTATGCAGTGGTGACATGTATCAAAGTGCATATACTTTGTTTCTGAACTTAAGTACATTTTTCAGGTATCTGTTCTTAACTTAATTACATTTCTTTTTAGGTACTTTTACTCCACTTCATTTATCAGCAAATATGTAACTTCTACACTACCACATACATGTTCACGTTGTTTTTTATATATTTTTAAAGTAATCAATAAGGGCAGGGACATTGGTTCACTGGTCCAATCAGAGCCAGCAGGTAACATTAAACCCCGCCTCCTGTCGTAGCCGTATTCTTTATCAATATGACATACATGAGTTTGTATTATACAGAATATATATAGGCACAGTTTATGATGTAGCAGATACTGCATTAGGTAAGTAAGTTACTTTAAATACTTATACATATATCTAAAAGCAAGTGTGTGGTACTTTTACTAAAGTACATCTTTGTCTATATATTTGAACTTTAACTGAAGTTAAATGTAAAAACTAAAGATTTCAGACATCTCTTAATTCTAACCTTCAGCAGGTTGAGGATCTTCTTGCTCAGGTCCAGCTCAAAGTTTGTGTAGTTGGAACCTGCCATGTCGTAGATGAACACCAAGCCATTCCTCTGGGTCTCGAAGCTGTGAAAAAGGAGACACACTTGTGTTTATTACACAGGTCAGATGTCGAAGTCGGTCCTCACAGCAGAGAGAGAGCAACAAACTGTAGACAAAAGCTGTCCTTTAATAGTTAATTTAAGTTTACATTAATATGATTCTCCCAAGTAAGACTAATCTACTTGCAACTACATCGGTGATGGTAAAGGGATTATATCATAGACCACTCAAAACACTTTTTTAGTATGAGCCACATTTACAAACACATTTATCTATTATATGCAACATGGACCACCTGGTAAGTATATGACCCACTCTACATCCTGAGCCACAGTCACCATAAAGTATTTGGTAAGGGTTGTAGTTTAAATGTTTAATTAGTTTAAATGACAAAAGAAAGGGAGACAATTGTTGACAACAAGTAGGACAATAAAAACTGCTTCAAAAACCATCACTGCCACAGATTCAGGACGTCTTTTTTTACTTATTCTCATGTATCTTATTGAATGCACATTGTGCATTTTAAATGTCATATATACGTCACAAACCAATATACATGTCCAGTGAATGACTGCAGCATGAATAGACGAACAATGTACAGAATGAAAAGTTCAGTACTTAGGTAATACATGTATATAGAGAGGATATCCTGTGATATTTACAACTGAACAATATTTATGGGATGAAAAACTAAACAGAACCAACAATAGAATGAGTCATATGAGTTACATTATGTACAACTAATGATGTCATGTAAGAATATACGAAAGAAATCCATACGCACAGGTTAAATATAGACTATACAGGGATTATATTCAGACCTCGAACCACAGCCCTCACCTTTCCACAGCCCGATCCAGGAGGTAGAAGAGGGCCTGCAGCACCACGTGGTTGCCCGTCTTGTTGGGGTGGTGAAGTTTTGCCGTGTACAGGGCGATGGAGGCCCCTGAAGGGTCCCGCACACTCTGAAACAAACAAAAACAAAACCCAAACAATACTAAGAAGGTTACCTCAGCTGTCCACCTCGTGGGAATAGTCACCGTGTCACTGACGAATCTCACATTTTCTTCCACTGGACTGTGACATGTGTATTAGTTCTGGATTAATTATCCACTACCCGGCCTGACCTCTAGGTTACATGCGCTTTAAAAACTATAAACTGTGTATTGACGTCTTATTTGGACAATTTTATGTTTGCTTATTTTTCTAAGAATGTGACGTCTGTAGTCATTTTGCCACAAGGTTTTCGTAGAAATCATGTGCTCGTTGAAGGAGATTACTGGGGCTGGTTTTGTGTGTTAGTTTGTGTGCAACAAGGCAGCCAAATATAAACTCTGCAGAAATAAAGGATGAACAATGACCACTGGGGGGCACTTAAGTTCACATGCTGGTTACTAGCAGACAGCCAGAGGGGGCTGTCAACAAGTCAGCAGGAGGAACAGATGTGGTCGGGACTGATGCTGCACATCTTCTTTCTCCCTGCGTCAGACCAGATCCGTTTGAAGGCGGCTGGAGTCACCAGAAATCCCCAGGGGCTCGTTTTCTTGAACCATGCGGCTGATTAAAGATGCTGCGGAACCCCATGTGAGCAAATAGGGCCTGGGTGCGCTCTCTGGCACTGGAGGTTAAAAATATCTCAGACAGGATATGAGCGCCGCTGCTGAGGTTGGGGAACTCAGACGTCAGACAAGAGGATGTGCAGCATCAATGCCACTGTGGCATGTCAACAGGGAAGGAAGAAGGGAAACATAGGAGAGTGGGAGTGCGTGTGTTGTGATTTGGCTGACAAAAGGCTAAATTTATCTGGCACAGGAACATCCCCTGGTTGGGAGATCAAAAGGACCTCCTTGATTCAGAGCTGCTTCTCTGTAGACAACATAAACTGTCTCGAACATGAAAAGTTAGCTCAATAAATTAACAAGTTGGGATCAACTGAAGTTTAAGTACAAGATTGATTGATCCTCAAGCCAAATGTCTTCCTCGACTAGTCCAAAAGAAACTAAATATATCAGGGAGGAAGAGGAATATGTTCCAATACATGACTGAAGCATGTTCAGACATTTCAGGAAAGACAGCTGAGTGTGGTGGTGGCAGTAACATGACAACAAAAATACACGAAAACATGATAAACAACATCTGAACATCAGATTGTGTGCACAGGCACCAGAGGAAAGGAGGAGGTTCTATCATCTTCAATTAAAAAGACCAAAACCAACAACGCCTGTTTCAAATGTTCTTGACCCGCCTGTGGCTCTAATAAAAACAGACATTATTCAATTTTAAGAATTATATAATCAT